TACCAAACATCCATGTTCTGTTACCACAGAAATGAATAGATTAATTTCGGGAATAAAACCCCATCCTGACCCATTGTTTCCTCTGCTCCTTCTAGTAATGCCAGTGAAGAGATTAAAACTTTGCAGAAGATGACCAAGACCTGGGAGAACCAGATTAGTGAAAGCTGGAAATGCTTCTGGTGGTATGAAAATATGCAAAGGAAACATATCTCAGTAGAAATGTGATATGGGAGACCAACAAGGAGGCTGCGGAAATAGTTTAATGACTGTGAACCTGGGACTTAATGGTTCTCAGGACGCAGATGTGATAGTTCTATTGTTTAATGCATCTTCTCTGCTCTAAAACTAGATGTCACTGGTCACTAAAACCAGGTGTGTGGGAGAAGGGGAAAAGGTGCTTTCATCTTTGCCCTTTAGGAAGAACAGGTTCTGAAATTTTAGTTTCTCTTTCCTTTTCCAGCTACTCTCAATCCCTTCCCGCCGGGCCACAGAAGTAAATGTTCCTGTTTCCTGACTCCTGCCGAATGTCCCTAGTGATGCCATAACCTTGAAGGACAGTGAAAGACCCAAAAGAGTCAGCGAAGGTCTTGTTAGCCTAGGAACTAGAGGGTAATTAAAAGTTAGGATAAAATGTTTTCAGAATGTTTACTCCATGGGGAGCTTAGAAGAGGGGGGACCTGCAGTTGCAGAGAAGTAGCTGGGGGAGGAACGAGTAAGGAATACACCCAGAGCAAGTAATTGTCCTCTTGGGATTCTTGGTTCTGAGAAGTCACCCGCTAAGACTGACAAAGTAAAATCTCCATCCCCAAGAAGAGGATGGAAGATGCTTCAGGGACTTCCTGAGAGATGTGCTGCCTCCGCCTTCACAGGGAGTCCTGTGCATGAGGTGAGCACCCAGCCCCGGGAAGTCCACACAGGCAAGGTTGACAGGAGGAGGTGAGCGGACAGAGGCCCCAGGGAGCAGCCAGGTCTGTCCCAGGACCCTCCACTGTGCTTTTTTCACTGGTTGTAGTCGGAAGCTGTTTGGATTTTTCCCATGACCTACATGATGCAACTCATTGTTTTCAAGCCACTTGACGCCATCCTCATCCTTGGTCAGTCATCCAATCCACATTGTAAACTGAAGTGCCCAGTACATGTGGACACACATTCAAAGGGCTAAAGAATGGAGCTCAAAAGGGAAAGGGCTCTTTCCTTGGCCTCGAGGCATTTGTATTCTGTTGGAGATAAGAATTAGTGAAGAAGGTATGGAGTTGGCATAAGAACCAAAAATAGACATAGACTTCCATCTTTTCTTGAAAAAGAGATGGCGAATACTCTCAACCACCAGAAAGCATGACTCCTGTGGAACCAAGGCAGGTTTGGTCCCTGATGTGGTGGAAAAGTTGGTGTTAGGGGTCCTTCCAATACAAGAATCATCAGGGATGAACCTGGGGAGGTTTACACTTATCAGAAAGCTACTAGCCTTTCAGCCTTGACTTGAATAGGTTTCTCATTTCTACTGTTACAGCCTCCTTTCCTATTTCCTTAGGCTCTGGTTTTGAGTCCACTGGCCCCATTCATCGACACCTCCTCAATCAGTTGTGTGTGTGTGATCTGAATCCTTTGATCCTAAACCCAGTAGCTCCTATCTTACTGCCTGCAGGCCCACTACCTATGCATACTTAGAGGGATCAAAGACCAAGAACTCCACCTTTCCCTTTAATACTGCTTTAAACTATAGCTTATGTGTATTCACTTATCACAAAGCTTTAGAGCTGGGTGAAATCTTGACGGTTGCCTAGTTTAACTTGCTTACTCTGCAGATGAAGAAACTGTGGCTTCAAAATGTAGCAATTGACCCAATAATACATAGATGGATTATTGATACAGATTGGAACCCAGGTCTCCTTATGTGAATCTTAACATACCTTAAGCCACATCTTTTTCGAGATGCAAAGGCATGAGTTTTTTTGTTTTTTTTTTTTTTTGCTTCTACTTTATTATTTCTACATATTTGCCTGGCTGTTTACATAGCCAGAGTCTATGTCTCTGGTTACCAGATGTGATCATTGAGCTTCCTCTGAACGCTCCTATGATAAAATCATGCTGACTCACCCTCTCTGTCCTGCCAGGCTGAGTTTCTGAAGAGGGAGGCCAGACCATATTGATCTGTTACCAGCACCTTCTATCAGACCAGGCTGAATGTTTACCAAGTTCAGCAAAGTGGAATGAAATTCTCTAACTATCCCAAAAAGCTGAGAGCAAGACTATCTACCAGTAAAAATAGTTTATCATCATCTAAAACAGCCTCAAAATTGATTAGGATAAAAATGTACTGAGCTCACACTGTGTGTAGAGCACGGGACTGCCTACCCATGGGGTACACACAGAACCTTTACCCTAATTCTTCACTGTATAAGCAGGGTCTCTGAAAATATTAACAGGTGGTTTAGGCAATAGAATGGATTGCAAAGGGAGTTTATGACCAATATTGTGTTAGTTTTCAGACCTTTATAACATATTCATGTTGTTTCCTGTCCCTAGATCACTGGATAGAATCTACTTCAGTAATATGGACTCATTGAGTATGTTGAATATAGTAGCCATAGCCACTGTGATTACTTAGTACTCTGCAAAGCACATTCATACTCATTGGTTCATGTGATCTTAAGATATTTTGAGGTGGGCATTATCCTTATTCGCACATTTCAAATGAAAAGACTGAGGCCCGGGGAGGTCGGCAGGCTCACAGAAGAGGCAATTGGAGCTCGGATCCCTTGACCTCTCATTCAAAGCTTTCCCACTCCCCACACACAGGGAGCTGTCCTGAGCCTCCCACCTAAGATTCCACAAGTGCCTCCCTTCCCAGACCACACCTTTCCGGAACTCCTTCCTGCCCCTCACCCACAGGCTTGGGGAGAGCTGATCCATGCAGTGCAGCTTGGAACCTTGAGCCAGCTTCATTCCCAGGGAGATCTAAGACCTGGGCAAAGTACCTTACCACTGTTCCTTGGTTTTCTTGCTTATCAAATGAAAGGGATGAAACATTTGGCCTCCATGTTTTCTTTCATTTCAAAGGTTTGGTTACCTTCTGGAGGGAATCTCGATCCTTGACACCAACTCTCAAGGTCTACGATAGCAAGTGGCCTATAGATCATAGGTCAGCATTGAGTTCCTTCTGCTGTTGGTACAAGGCAACAGGCTCTGTGGGTAGCCACAGGCTCCCGGGGGCTGGGAATCCAGCTGGGAATCCCAGCTCACTGCTTTCCAGCCCTAGAACCTCACCTCCAACCCTGAGAACCCAAAGCCAGCTTCTGTTCTTAGCAGTTTCTACAGCGATACCTTCTGCCCACTGCAAGGCCAGGACTGGACAGAAACGAGAGATGCCTGCTCCATCCAGGTCCTCTGCTCTCTCCCTCCACCATAAGGGCTCCTGCCAGTATTTTCTCAGACAGAAGAAACCTCAATTGAATTATGCATCTCAGTCCCCTTGTATTTGATTCTGTGGCTCCACTGTGGTTTCCTTAATGCCGATGTATTTCATATGTCATCTGTTTGGCTGTAGTGGCTTTCACAGACATGCTCTCATTAGAGTCTCAGATTGGACCAAGATCTAATTTTTTTTAATTTCCTATTTGATTCTGTGGCACTGCTGATTTCTAAACACAACTTTCTAATGTTGAAAGGCAGGGTATTTCCTAGAGATTGGTTGAAAGCACAGTGCCCGATATACTCAATACATTTTTAATAAATGGATTAATTAATTTACTAATTAAATATTTTTAAGAGCAGGATATATACCCGGATATTACATTTCTATTAAGAAAAACTGTAGCATTTAATTCTACTTCTTCTGCAAGACCAGTCAGCATGCTGGAAGGGAGATGGCCTGGTGCAGCCTTAGCTGGAAGAAGGCTAGAAGAGGAAGGACTCACTCTGTTTGAAAAGATTCAGTGGATTTCCATCACCTCATACTCAGTAGTAATATGTGAGTATCATTAGTCTTCAAATGCTCTTGTTACATTATTTCTGTTAATCACTTATTTAAACATCCAAATAAATGTCTGCAACTCACGACATAAATTGCCTATTATTGAGAAGTAAGACCTAACTATAGTGGTAATTTAATTACAGAGCTCCAAATTTAATTAGCCAAGTACTAACCTTGTTCTTCTCCTTCATAGCACTTAGCACAATTATACTTAATTAATCATTTGTAATTATTAATTCAATCTCTGTGTCCCTAGTTAAATTAGAAGAACCAAAAAAGCAGGACCCATGTTTCTGTCTTTCTTGCTCACAGACAGGTGTCCAACACCTGGGACAGCTCCTGGCACACAGAGGGGCTTGGCAGCACTGGGTTAACGGCTCTGAGCTCCATCTGGATGAAGGGTGACTGAGGATGTGAGAGGGCTCCTTCCAGCAGCTTCCAGGACTGGGTGGGCCCCTGCAAGAAGCATGAAAAGCAGGTGAATCCGGGGTCAGGTCGGGAAATGACTCCGGAAACCCGCGGTTCCCTGTGGTTCTCAAGTGTCCGACTACAGTGCTTTGCCCACTGCCACCCCACAGTGAGGAATCCTCCCTTTCTTTCCTGTCCTCGCCTTTCCTTCCCTCCTCTTCTGCTTTTTTACTTTTCTTCCTTAGTTTTCCTTTTTCTTTGTTTTCTTTTTTCTTTCCTTCTATCATTCTTTTTTCTCTATCTTTCCTTTCACATTGATAGATTACATCCATATAACTGGCGCTGTGCTGGGTTCTAAACATAAAAAGGCGGCCGAAACAGGGACTTTGTCCTTCAGGATCTCACAGTTTAGTGTCAGAAACCAAATGTCCCTTTATCTGAGGCCTTCATTGCATTCTCCCCTAACAAAGTAGGTTAAAAAACCAAGGCTCAGTGTTCCCATTCCAGCCCCAATCCTAGTCCAGGACTTAATCCAAGACTCCTAAAGGGAGACCTTCACTTGCTCTCCTAACTCTACTCCCTGGCAGCCTGATCTGCCTGCTCCATGGAGAGGGACAACATGACCTGGGTGAGTGAGTTCGTCCTAATGGGTCTCTCCAGTGACAGGCAGACCCAGGCTGGACTCTTTGTCCTGTTCGGGGCCACCTACCTACTGACCCTGCTGGGCAATGGGCTCATCCTCCTCCTGATCGGGCTGGACACACGACTCCACCTGCCCATGTACTTCTTCCTCTGCCACCTCTCCTTCGTGGACATCTGCTACACCTCCAGTGGGGTCCCCCAGATGCTGGTGCACTTCCTCCTCGAGAAGAAGACCATCTCCCTTGCCCAATGTGGAACCCAGCACTTCTTCTCCCTGGCCCTTGGGGGGACTGAGTTCCTGCTGCTGGCTGCCATGGCCTATGACCGCTATGTGGCCGTCTGCGACCCCCTGCATTACACGTCCGTGATGAGCCCAAGGCTCTGTGCAGCATTGGCAGCTGTCTCTTGGCTTGTAGGCCTGGCTAATTCCGCCGTGCAGACAGCAATCACCATGCGCCTGCCCACCTGTGGGCACAACGTGCTGAACCACGTGGCCTGTGAGACACTGGCACTGGTCAGATTGGCCTGCGTGGACGTCACTCTCAACCAGATGGTCATAGTGGCCTCCAGCGTGGTGGTGCTGCTGGTGCCCTGCTGCCTGGTCTCACTGTCCTACACCCACATTGTGGCCGCCATCCTGCGCATCCGCTCCACCCAGGGACGCCGCAAAGCCTTCGGGACCTGTGCCTCCCACCTCACCGTGGTCTCCATGTCCTACGGGATGGCCCTCTTTACACACATACAGCCCCGCACCACAGACTCAGCTGAGCAGGACAAAGTGGTGGTGGTCTTTTATGCTGTGGTGACCCCTATGTTGAACCCTCTCATCTACAGTCTGCGCAACAAGGATGTGAAGGCTGCTCTGAGTCGAGTTCTGATGAGGACTTCTGAATTAAAACATTAGAACGTGGTTTTTGTAATGAGAAGGCTTCACACTGAAGACAGTGGGCATTAGAGTGTGCTCTCCTGTGTAACAGGTGTGTGCATGTGTGCACGTGGATGTGCATGTGCGTGTGTGCATGGGTGCATGTGTGTAAGTAAGGGAACAGGTGGGAGGTCCACAATCTGCACTATACTGTTTTGATGTAATAGAGAAATGGGATTGTATCTGTTCTCTATTTTTGGTCTCTGCCTTATTCCAAAAAAATGTGAATTACAGCAACTTAAAAATACACACACCCTACAGAAAGTTAAATGAAACACATTCATTTTCTTAAATGAAAGAAAGCAGGGGGGAAGATATACTAGTGTATCTGAACCAGGAAGGAAGATTAAATCAGAAGTCAGGGCAGTGCACAAAATTTATGCCAAGAAAATCTATTTCCTTGCTAAAATCTGCAAATATGTGTCTAAACTTTTCTGTAGTCAGTGAGAAAAGGGAAAAAAAATTCACTGTGCCCATGGCATCAAACAAGCCTCAGGTCAGAGGTACAAAGGTCACCCTGTGACTCACACATCGTTCAGCCCAGCTCACTAGGGTGGGGAATTCACACAAGGATTTGGGGGCAAAATCACAGCAATGGTCCCCTCATCCCTGATGAACATGAGTGGGCCATGCAAGTCACAGGGACGTCCCTTTGCTTGCTTCCCTTTTGAATTTGCAATGGTGGCAAAGGGCTGGCCGGAAAGTCAGATGTTCAGGACCTCGAACAAATGTCTTTCTACATTGGGTCCAAGGATATCCTCGTGTGAAAACCAAGGGGTGTATTCAGAGCTCCTCTTGGCTAGAAGGCCACGCTGCACATGACCAGATGGAGCCAAGGCATTCAGCAAGGGAAGAATCCTATTTCTCCGTGGCAAAAATTGTGTTCTGCTCTTATAATACACAGATAAATTATTGAGTTCTCAACACCCTAGACCATAAAGCAAAGCAGTGACGATTTTATCTTGAAAAATGTTTGAAACAAGCTTTAAAAATCAGCATAAAGCATCTCCTTACCTAAATAGTATGGATCTCTGGTTTGTCACAACACAAATAAACAAAACATATAAATTGATACAATTCAAACTTCTACTCAGTCTGTTGCAAAAATGCTAAAGGATTGAGGAGAAGAGAATGGAGAGCTTTTTTAAATTTTTAGCAAGACTTTTTTAAAATTGAAGTTAAGTACACATATCATACGATTCACAATTTTTACCATTTTAAAGTGTACAATTCATTGGCATTAAGTACATTGGCAATGTTGCACAACCTCATGTCTGTCTAGCCCCAAAACATTTTCGTCACTCCCAAAAGGACACCCCACACCCATTAAGCAGTCCCCTCCGCCCCCAGCTCCTGAAAATTACTAATCTGCTTTGTGTCTCTATGGATTTGCCAATTTTGCACATTTCATATAAATGGAAACATACAATATGTGGCTTTTGTGTCTGGTTTCTCTCATGTAACATGATGTTTTTGAGTTCTATCCATGCTGTAGCAGGCAGCAGTGCTTTGCTCCTTTTCCTGGTTGAATAATATTCCATTTTGTGGGTGTAGCACATTTGCTTATACAGACATCAGATAATGGACATTTGGACTGCTTCTACCTTTCACTATTGTGAATAGTGCTACTGTGAACATTCATGTACGAATTTTTGTTTGAATACTTGTTTTCGATTCTTTTGGGTCTGTACCTAGAAGTAACACTGCTAGGGCATACGGTAATTCCATGTTCAACTTTTTGAGGAACTGCCAAACTGTCCTCTACCACAGCTGACCCATATACATTACCACCAGCAATGAACAAGGGATCAAATTTCTCCACATCCTCACCAGCACTTGTTATTTTCGGTTCCTTTGATTATAGCCATCCTAGTGGGTATGAAATGTTACCTCATTCTAGTTTTCATTTGCCTGTCCCCAGTGAGTAATGACATTGAATATACTTCTATATGCTTTTTGACCATTCGTATATCTTCTTTAAAAAACTATCCAGCACAACTTTTTAACTTATTTTTAGACCCTTCTTTGACTGTTAATTTGTTTCTCAAAATCAACAAATTATTGCTTTATTTCTCTATTTCCTCCATAGATGTTCTCTCTCCTAATCAAAGCCTCCATGTTTGGGCTTTTGCCCACCTTCCTCCCAGTGTTTGCATTTTATACAGCAAAGAAATCTCAGGAATTCTTCCTCCTTGGATAATGAGGGAGAATAAATTGAAATTTAGAATTTAATATATTTTCCTTTATCCTCATCACATATCTATGGAACATCTAGTTTTGAGCACCAATATCCTAGTATACCTTCTAACATAGCCTGGCTCCAAAATGATCACCAAAATAATTGAATGAGCAAACTGTATATATGATAAGGCTGGGCATGGTGGTGCACACCTATAGCCCCAACTACTCAGGAGGCTGAAGTAGGAGGATTGCTTGAGCCCAGGAGTTCAAGGCTGTAGTGCTCTATCATCATGCCTGTGAATAGCCAGAGCATTCCAGCCTGGGCAACACAGCAAGACTTCATCTCTAAAAAAAGAAAAAGAAAAGAAAAAAAACCTTTGTGTATGACGTTTTTTGATAAAACTAGTTAAAAGTTGGAGGATGCCAACCAAAGGCAATATATTGGTTCTATACTGCTTGAGCCACAATCCTCCTTAATTGAATAACTATACAGTAGGGACAGTAATCTATTAAGACTGATTCTGGAGCCTGGGCTCTTGACCACTACTTTCTATAGCCTGTATATGTGTATTGAAAGGGCTCACCTGAGTTTCTAGGAAAAAATAATCATTGAAAGTGACTCACACATGAACACACCCTGGAAAGATTTTAAATTTCAAGTGTCTAAGAAAAAGTCCAATAGCAAACAGGTAAGTTCCCTGAGAAAGACCAACAAACAGGCTGGCACCAAACTTTTCCTCTACAATAAAGAGTGCCAAGAAGGCACTGAAATAATTTTCTGCCAGGTTTTGAGTGCACAAAAGTATAATTCAAAATGTTATATCCTACCAAATGATCCTTAAAATAATAGAGAAACAAACAGATATTATCTTATATGCATGGCTTATAAAGTGTCAGTTAAGTTAATATTTGTATTTCTTAAAGGATAGGAATATACAAACAAATAAAAAATATAAAATTGAAAGTGGGGATCATGTTGGATTAGAGATTCCAACAAATGTCTTGACTATAAAGAAGGTTGAAGTACACTGATAAGGAGGAGGTTTTCACAAACCGGTGTGTTAGAACCCTGGAGATGTTAAGGACGCTGATTTGACAGTTATAATCAAAGGTAGGCAGGATTAGTGGGTCTGCTAAAAGGGGACTACTTGAAACACTGTTTATGGAATAACCACACAGATCAGCTCCTCTGTCACAATCCACCACCAGAATGAAGGCCCCAGCCTTGATCCTCTGGGGAAAAAAGAAAAAAAAAGTTTTTTTCTCTAACACATAAGATAAAATTTCTTGGAAATGCTAGAACCTCTACAGCTAATGTTGTTTTCACCAAGTAAATATCACCTTCCTATGGCGTGTTAGGGACCCATTCCTTTATAATCAAATCCCTCCTGATCACCCTAAAATGAACTCTATCATTTGTTATAATTTATTCTCAATTGAAATACACTCAACTCTGATAAGACTATCTAGGGCAAGAGTTCATTCCAACATAGTCTCACCTATGTAATTGCAGAGTGAACCACACTTACTACCTAGTCCTTCATTCTTTTATATAAAAATAGGCCATTCTTATTGCTGAAATCCATAAAAAAAAAAGTAAGATAGCTCAAAGGTGAAATGAAAGAGTTCTCTAAGAATACAGAATAATAAATTCAAAAACAAAAATTATATAGGCCTTCTACTTCCAGACACGAAGGAGTAGCAGGATCCAGGATTGCCCAGCTACCATAAACAGCTTCAACACTGAAAAACAATTAAAAACCATTATTTTCAGATATTAAAAAAAAAGCAACACAGAACTGTAATTCTTGTGAAAAGGAAAAATAATGAGGTGATTCTTAAAATCACCCAGACTTCCTGCCAGAAGGAAATAACCAGATTGTGGCACAGGCAGAGGGAGTCCAAACAGAGTCTGGAAGTCTTGCTCAGTGAAAGACGCAGAGCTTGGAAGGAGGAGTAAGCTCCTACAGCCAGAAATCAGTCTGTGAGTCTCTGGCTAAACACCAACCAGTATATGAGTAGTGTGAACCCCTACAAGACTGGAAAAGAACAACTTCCAAAGAAAGAAAAATTACTGAAGAGCTGTAAAACAAACAACTCCCAGAACTCACATGGGGCCAGGATTGATTTTAGTACTCTTCGGCTAGAGTGAGAAATGTTATTGAATATACAGACCATTCCATCTGAATGGCAGAAAAGCTATGCCTTAGAAGTTGAGCAAAATTAGTCCCAGAATAATGGTGACCCTAGACCTACCTTAAATGAGCTTTAAAAAAATCCAAAAGGATCAAACTAATTTATACATAACTTAACTTACTGCCAGAAAAAGTCTAAAAGCCTTTAATAGAATATAACAAAAACAAGTGTTAAAGAACTTAAAATTCTTAATAGTTAACATTCAATAAAAAATTACTAGATCTTGTGCTATAGTTTGGATATGATTTGTTTGGCCCTGCCAAGTCTCATGTTGAACTTTGATTCCCAGTGTGGGAGGTGGAACTTAGTGGATGGTGTTTCGGACATGTGGGCAGATCCCTCATGAATGGCTTGGTACCATTCTTGTGGAAGGGAGGGAGTTCTCACTCTCAGTTCCAGCTAGAACTGGTTGTTGAAAAGAGCCTGACACCTCCTCCTATCTCTCTTTTGCTTTTCTCTTGCCATGTGATCTCTGGCCAGCTCCCCTCGGCCATCTGCCATGAGTGGAAGCCACCTGAAACCCTCACCAGGAACAGATGCTGGTACTGTACATCCTGTACAGACTGCAGAGCCATGAGCCAAATAAACCTCTTTTCATTATA